GGGGGGGGGGGGGTTGGGGGGGAGTAAAATTTCAGACACTGATGAAATTTACAGTATTTGCAAAACCATGGAAGCTTTGCCGCCCACATTCTTATTAAATATCTGTTTTTAATTTGTGAAAGGATACGTGAAATTAACATTAACACTAATGTGAAATCTAATCAGTCAATTACACCTAAGATATAAAAACATAGATTCTTGTGATCTTTTTAGAAGCACATTTCTTTACTGAGTTTTTGAGATTTTCATTTAAAAACGAAGCAAGGGGCTTCCCTGGTGGCGCAGTGGTTGAGAGTCCGCCTGCTGATGCAGGGGACGCGGGTTCGTGCCCCGGTCCGGGAAGATCCCACATGCCGCAGAGCGGCTGGGCCCGGGAGCCATGGCCGCTGAGCCTGCGCATCCGGAGCCTGTGCTCCGCAACGGGGGAGGCCACAGCAGTGAGAGGCCCGCGTACCGCAAAAAAGGAAGAAAAAAAAAAAAGCAAGACTGTTGCTGTTCAGCCTGTGTATTTCTTTTCTTTTTTTTCTCATATAACCATTTTTAATACATAACAAGCAAAGGAAGCAAACAGAGGAGATTATCAAAGGGCATTAAACACTTCTCTAAATGCATTAAAGAATGTTTATATCATCCATTCCCTGGTATAACACTCTTGTCAAAGTAGCTTGTACATAGCAACTTTTAAACATTTTCCTACATAGATTTTTAAGCAATTCTCTAAATGCATTACAAAATGTTTATCAAATCCAATTCCTTAAACAACTCTCTTCTCTGTGTAGCAAGCAGGTTTCACTGTTTTAACCATTATTCCTGTGTCTTTATTTCTTTTTTATTTTATTTTATTTTTTTTAACATCTTTATTGGAGTATAATTGCTTTACAATGATGGTGTGTTAGTTCCTGCTTTATAACAAAGTGAATCAGTTATACATATACATATGTCCCCATATCTCTCCCCTCTTGGATCTCCCTCCCTCCCACCCTCCCTATCCCACCCCTCTAGGTGGTCACAAAGCCCCGGGCTGATCTCCCTGTGCTATGCGGCTGCTTCCCACTAGCTATCTATTTTACGTTCGGTAGTGTATGTATGTCCGTGCCACTCTCTCACTTCGTCCCAGCTTACCCTTCCCCCTCACCGTATCCTCAAGTCCATTCTCTAGTAGGTATGCATCTTTATTCCCGTCTTGCCCCTAGGTTCTTCATGATTTCTTTACTATTTAATAAATTGCCGTATGTATAGATTACTTTATTAAAAATAAAGAGCAAACAAAAAAATTTAAAGAAGTTGCCAAAACAGGCCAGGTGTATACCTAAAGGTTCTTTTGTTGATGGTGGTTATTGGGGGTGGAAGTGGGAATGAGAGGCAGCGGGTAAAAAAAAAATCAAACAGATAAAATAAATTTTAGAAGCTATAAGATCAAAAGAATTTACCTTATAAAAGTCCAGACTAAATCCTGCTTGGCAGTAACCCTGACCTTCAGGATCAGCATTGCCTGGAATGATCAAAAGATACAAATGTTATAACATCATTATCCCCGAGATATATTTTAATAACTAGTTCAGGATACACTGTTGTTTTATCTATAGACTTCTAAATTTAAAGTGATCAATATGTGTTCTATATTTATTTGTAAAATTTATTCCAAGTAATTTCTTAAATACATTGCAATCTGTTTTCTTGTCCCAAATGGCACTGTGATTTTACAGTAAGAGCAGGAATAACGTTCCTTGGACTATGATACTGGGTTTTATAACTCATGTTTATTTGAAGAAATAAAACCTCCATCTCCCAACTATGTTCCAAGTTCCCCAACTGGCAATATTGTGTTTCTGTGGTGCCCACATGTTCTGAGTAAAGCAGTGCCTTGAGAAAGAGCTAAATTTAGTCACCTGGGTGGACACTTTCTGCTGGAGTCACCGATAAGAGTTTCAATTTCCTGGTCTCTCACAGGAAATTAACTTCAAATTCTTCTATGATCATTACGTAAATTTGGACCTGGCATTTCTGATCACATTGCATCTCACAGGGACTCTAGTGTTCAAAAAAGAGAAAACTCTCTAGCAATGGCTTATTTTATACTCTCTGCAATGTAATTCACTAGCTGAATGTCCAATAGGACTTTTCTATAATACAGTTTTGTTTGGGGTTTTTTTTGCGGTACGCGGGCCTCTCACTGCTGTGGCCTCTCCCGTTGCGGAGCACAGCCTCCAGACGTGCAGGCTCAGCGGCCATGGCTCACGGGCCCAGCCATTCCGCGGCATGTGGGATCTTCCCGGACCAGGGCACGAACCCATGTCCCCTGCATCGGCAGGCGGACTCTCAACAACTGTGCCACCAGGGAAGCCCTATAATACAGTTTTTTAAACCATAGGCAGGTCAACCTGTGGATTCCCAGGATATCAGGATACTGGGACATTAGGATGAGGAATGTACTACTTGTCACTTGTACTTTAAAAGAGTATCACTCCTAAAGTACTTAAATTAAAACCAAAATATAGTTCAGTAGAGGGAATCTCAGTCGTTATACAGTTAGATGCAAACATGCAAATAATTACTCCTTTCTTATCAAGGATATTCCTGAATGGAAACTAAAATAAGAGGGCAGGAAAGGAAATGCACATCATCCCAGGAAAAATTTATAGGCTGGACATGTGCCTGTTCCAGAAGCTTTTTGAAATGGATCAGGCCTTTCCAGCTTTTCCTAGAATGCCTTCTGTTTTTTCTTTTCTTTGGTTAGTACTTAGCTAATTTTAGCACTGTCATCAGCCATTCTTTCCAGATGTTCCCTTTATATTTTAAAATACTTTTCTACTTCATATACTGTATTTTTTTGATGATCTGTTTTTAATTCAAATGCCGATGCTTTGTGTGTGTGTGTTTTTTAAGCTAAGTTTTTTATTTACAGCTTTACTGAGGTATACTTAATATACCAAAAAAATGCACATCTTACTGTGTACGTTTTGATGAGTTTAGACATATGCCTCATACCATGATACCACCACCACGATCATGGGAATAAACATATTCATCACCTCCAAAAGATTTCTTGTGTTCCCCACCCTCAATCAAATTTATTTTTTGTTTGTTTTTTTGTGAAACAACTTTCACAACTTTTGTGAAAACACTTAACATGAGATCTACCCTCTTAACAAATGTTTAGGGCACAGTACCTTACAATATATTTTGTTTTGTAACTATATTTTGTGGTTTATAATTATGAATGCTACAAAGTTCCTTAAAGTCTCAAATGTCCAGGTACCATTCTTCTAGAAGTTCATGCCTGTAAATAGTTGTATGCAACCAGAAATATATATGAACACAAGATATATGATTATGTGAACATAGATGTGTTGACTGTATTTAAGAAATGTATTTTTAATGCATAAATCTTTTTTATAAATCCTTTTGAAAATCAACTCTGACTTTTTCAATATTGTAAATTATTCATAAAGGAAGAAACAGGACCATTCTTTGAAATCATTTTGCTGCAAAACAGGAAACTGAAAAAATTAAGAGAAAACAGTAATTTTTCATAAAATTCATCGAGAAAGCAACCAACTTCAAATGTTGAAGTGGTGATTATAATAGAAATGGGAGGTTATTTCCTTTGCAAAGTAAGTTTTTCTCTTACAATTATAGTTTATGAGAGCTGAAGGAATCTTTCTTCCTAGAACTTCAGAGCATCTGTGAACTTTACAATTATGCCCTATAGAGTAAACTCAGGAATCCAGGGAATCATGCTATCATGTGTTGGCTTCCCAAGGAGAATGGAAAGGTGTGTGTAAACCATTGCCATCTAAATTATGAATGACCGTAAGAGCTACAGGCATGTCATTAACATGAATGAGCAGACTACCACCCAGATTGCTCAAAGTGTCAGTGAAGGGGCTTTGCGGTGTGACATGAACATGAGAGGCCTCTTGAAATTCTCTTTTGAAAGTAATATCCCTGTTCTGTGATATTGACCATACGCTCATGAACAAGGTGGCTTTGTGTTTATGAGCTGTGAACTCCTTAGGGAACACAGGAAGCTGGCTCCTGGGGTGCATTTGAGAAGGAAGTACTTCCAGTAAGAGAGAGACCAGGAGGATGTGACACTGGAGTTGTGTACTAGACTGAACAGAATTCCTGGCCATTTGTTTGGCTATTCTGCAACTCGACATAAACTTCACCTTTACCTGTGTCAAGCTATTCTTTTATTTAGGAAAGTAAACGCTAAATAAATTGGCAACATAATATACCCGTGTAACTCAAAATGAGAGCATACTATACTTTAAATTTTTAGATAATGGTTCAAACTCACCCTGCAACTCTTATCCACAAGTCTAGATGGCTTATGCTGTATTTTAATCTGAGCTCTCCCATCACATGGGCAGTCAGATAAAAAGGCAGAACAAGAAGCAGTGACATGGTTTCTAAACAATCATCCTTGATGTTAGCTGGAAGAGGATATATCATCAAGGTAAGAGGCATGTGAAGGACGGGCTCCTCATTTCAGCCACAGTAGTTTACTGCTGTGGGGAGGTATCTCTAGCAAATCAGAAGAAATGTGATATGGATAGGTGTAAAAATTGATGAAACAAGTTCAGTTTTGAATCTCTGCTCTACCATAAATTTTATGAATAAATTCAGGATTTATTTATTGCTCTACTTGACTTTTTTTTTTTTGCCATGATACGTGGCTTGCGGGATCTTAGTTCCCCAACCAGGGATCAAACCCGTGCCCCCTGCAGTGGAAGCGTAGAGCCCTAACCACTGGGCTGCCAGGGAATTCCCTGACCTTTATCTTTAGCATAATAATAAGGACCTCTTACAGAACTCAGCGGCATGACCTTGAGTGGAACACGACACAAAATATCCCTCTTAATGGATGATGCCATGCTTGGAAAGCTCCTGCCTTCCTGCTCCAGTAACTGCTAAGAGAAGCCCTTCCCATCGTCCTGTCTGAAACAGCTCCTCTCCCCACCTAGGCATGTCGCTCCCTACTCTTTTGCCTTGCTATGTTTTTCTTTGTAGTACTTTTCACTACCTGACATTATATTAGAAACTTACTTATTATTTAAACAAATTGTGTCATTGAGATGTAATTGACATATTAGTCCAAGGTGTACAACACAATTTGATTTATGTATATACTGTGAAATAATTACTACAGTAAATGTAGTTAACATCTGTCACCACACATCGTTGCAATCTTTTTTTCTTTTGGCTGTGTTGGGTCTTCATTGCTATGCGCAGGCTTTGTCTAGTTGCGGCGAGCGGGGGCTACTCTGTTGCGGTGCGTGGGCTTCTCATTGCGGTGGCTTCTCTTGTGGCAGAGCACGGGCTCTAGGTGCGCGGGCTTCACTAGTTGTGGCTCACGGGCTCTAGAGCGCAGGCTCAGTAGTTGTGGCATGCGGGCTCAGTAGTTGTGGCTCGCAGGCTCTAGGGTGCAGCCTCAGTAGTTGTGGCGCACGGGCTTTCTTGCTCCGCGGCATGTGGGATCTTCCCGGACCAGGGCTTGAACCCGTGTCTCCTGCACTGGCAGGCGGATTCTTATCCACTGCGCCACCAGGGAAGCCCCGTTACAATCTTTTTAAAGCTCTTAAGATCTACTCTCACAGCAACGTTCAACTATACATCTTATTACTAACTACAGTCACCATGCTGTACATTACATCCCCAGGATTTATCTTATAACTGGAAACTTGTATGTTTTGACCACCTTCACCCATTTAACCCACACCCACACACCCCACCACTGGCAACCACCAATCTGTACTCTTTTTCTGTGAGTTTGTGTGGTTTTTTTTTTTTAAGATTTTGCATATAAGTGAGATCATACAGAGTATTTTTCTTTATCGGACTTACTCCATTTAGCATAATACCCTCAAGATCCATCCATGTTGTCATAAATGGCAAGACTTCATTCTTTTTTATGGCTGAATAATATTCCATTGTGTATATATCCATATCCATATCTCTATCTATTCCATATTTCCTTTATCCACTTATCCATTGATGGATCCTTTGGTTTTTCCATGACTTGGTTGTTGTAAATCGTGCTGCAGTGAACATGGGGGTGCAGATATCTTTACAAGATAGTGATTTCAGTTCTTTTAGATAAATACCCAGAAGTGGAATTGCTGGATCTGAACTTATATATTTGCACATATGTTGTCTCTCTCCCGCCCTAGAATATGCTTTTTGAAGACAGTGGTTTGCTTTTGCTTGTCCTGTGCTTTATTCCCTAAACACAGAATAATTAGTGCTCAGTGTGTTCAAACAACACGTGTGGAATGAATGCATAACTGAGTCTTATTATCTATAGGGAACACCTCTTTTATTTATTTATTTAAGTTTATTTATCTATTTATTTTTGGGCTGCGTTGGGTCTTTGTTGCCGCGCACGTGCTTTCTCTAGTTGCGACGAGCAGGGGCTACTCTTCGTTGCGGTGCACGGGCTTCTCATTGTGGTGGCTTCTCTTGTTGCAGAGCACAGGCTCTAGGTGCGTGGGCTTCAGTAGTTGCGGCATGCAGGCTCAGTAGTTGTGGCTTGCAGGCTCTAGAGCGCAGGCTCAGTAGTTGTGGCGCACGGGCTTAGTTGCTCCGCAGCATGTGGGATCTTCCCGGATCAGGGCTCAAACGCCTGTCCCCTGCACTGGCAGGTGGATTCTTAACCACTGCACCTCCAGGAAAAGTCCAGGAACACCTCTTTTAAGCCATTTAAGGGACTTCCCTGGTGGTGCAGTGCTTAATAATCCACCTGCCAGTGCAGGGGACACGGGTTTGATTTGTGAGAACACAGTGAGAACACAAGCTAGGTGGAGAACTCACATCCACTGTGCCCTTGGGTCCAATCATGCTAATTAACACCATTCCTACAGTTAACAAGCGGACAGTTAGCATTTTTCAAATGCAGTGTGAATTTTGAGTAGAGATGGAGAGTTTAAGGCCTAAAATAAGGAACCAATCAATTTGACTGCAGAATATCTAAAAACAGAAAATTTCTAAAACACGGAAGACGATCGGCAGAATTCCGTGTCTTGGTCCTCACATTACAGTAAGGCATCCTGTAAGGCCGTCCGTCATCTTTACCCCCATTGCTTTTTCCTTACCAATGGTGTTCTGGGGTTACCTGCACTGTCTATAGCAGAAAAGCTCGAGCTAAATTTCAGTTCCAAGAATAAAAATAACTTACTGTTCCGACAAGGAGAGTACTCAGCATATGCACTGAAATTCTGAATTGCTACATAGCAAGTGCCAACTGGGTCCTTTTCTGGTGTCGGTTTAAGAGTTCTCCAGTGATATAATGGAGCACAGGCCTGGGAAACATCAAAGACAATAAAAATTTTTTGATGTAGATTCCTCTTACAGTGCTTTGATTTGACTTGTTGATGAATGGACCTAAATTTGTAACAAACAATGCTAAATTATTAAGTGACTTAATTGGCCTCCAGTATGCTAATGAGTACCTCAGTAGTCAGAGTTAATTAAACTTCCAAAGCCAATATTTCAACATTAATGCACCGTAGAATTGGAACAAATTAAGCATACACAAAGGAATGAGATTTTTCCCCCCACAGGATTTTAAATCAAATCAAAGTAGCCTAGCAAAAGTAAATATTTACGAAAGGCAAAGAACTCTTATTTTCTTTTTTTCTTTTAATTGGACCTACATAAAAGCAAATGAACATTTAAACAGCGAATGAATCAGCGTGATGTCTTAAAAAGAGAATTAGTTCCTTTCTTGGTTTAATTGTTGCTTAAAGAAAAACTACTTTCCAATCAAAGGATGCAGACAAGTTTGTAAACCTCTGTTTTGTGGATTCCTCTGGTTTATCACTGAGGGTGTACCTGACGATTTTTTTAAAACAATGACTTACATTTGGACTGCTACCCCCTTATCACAGTGGATTTATTTTTCATTTGATAGTTTTTATTCATGACAAAACAAAACTTAATTTAAACAATGGTAAGAAAAACATGATTCTTGGATTATGAAATATAAAAGAGGATATATGAAATCCTCTTTAAGTAAATTAAATAATTAATTGTGCTATAGGAACGAGACAGGCAATAAACATAAACAGGTAGAAAACACAGGCACCTTTCTGACTTCTGTTTTGCCAGCTCGAATCCTACGCAACTGTGTTTTACCTGAATATTCATTCATTTACTTTTTTTTTTTTTTTTTTTCGGGCCTCTCACAGTTGTGGCCTCTCCCGTTGCGGAGCACAGGCTCCGGACGCGCCGGCTCAGCGGCCATGGCTCACGGGCCCAGCCGCTTCGCGGCATGTGGGATCTTCCCGGACCGGGGCACGAACCCGTGTCCCCTGCATCGGCAGGCGGACTCTCAACCACTGTGCCACCAGGGAAGCCCTAAAAGTTATGTTTTTTAAACCTGCTCAGTTTCACACTGATGTGAAACACGATGATGTGATAATATTCAGGCTTTGACCCAAACACACATGATACCTGGATATTCAAAATCGATACTTCTGTTCACAGCAATTTGAAGTTCTAAGAATTGTCACACAGCGTAGAATTTAATTCTTTATGCTGCTAAGTTTCAGTGCTCAAGGAAAAAGTTAACTTGAAAGGTACTTTATATTACCCTGTTTCCTACCACATAATTTTGAAAGTGCAAGCATGCCCTCAAATGAAGCATATTTATTATGAACATGATGTGTTATTTTACGTTCAATAATTCTAAAGATTTCTACAAATATTGAATAAATGCACAATAATATAAGTTTTCAAGTCTTAATCAAAATCAATATAGTACCAAAAGATTTTTTTAACCCCAAATAGTTATTAGATGGAATTAGCTTTTCAATAGCTATTCACATACATTGTAAATCACTAAAGGATTAAAAAGTTTTTACCAATCCTGGAATGTGAGAACTATATTAATGCAAATACAATTCTGCAGAGAGCCTATTGTAAATTCTGGATTTGTCACTAAAGAGGGCTATCTATGTTTTATATATTACTTGTTTTATGTCACAATTTCTGTGGGGCGTTAACCACAGACCAAATAAAGCAAGGCATTTCCTTTAGATACTTATTTTTATTAAATCATAATTCAAACACTTTTAAACAAATCCCAAAAGCAAAAGTTATTGCTTTATTTTGTAAGGAAGTTAGAGCCAATAGTAAAAAAAAAAAAAAAAAAAAAAAAACCCAATAACAAAAAAGTTTCCAGATCAACTTAATACAGTTATTTATCTCTCAGTAAAGCAGACATGTATTATCACTTGGAGCTACAGAGAAGAGAATCACAAAGTCATAGCATTTTAAAGCCAAAAGATCTCTATCTGTGAGTGAGAAATTTTTACTTTAAAAAGTATCAATGTACTCAGAGAACCATGTAATTGGTAGTTATATTTTTAAAGAAAACTTTCCGATAGTTCTAAAGAGGATCAATGACATCACAGTAGATTAACTTTTAAAGAACCCTAACAGTAGTACTCCTATTTATCTGGTCAAACTTTAGTCAGCCCTTTAAATCAATCTTAAGCAATAAAATATTTACCTTTTTAGGATTTAGCTTTTATTTTTCTATCTTCCTTATTTGTTTTTGAAATATTTGAAAAGATCTAGCCAATTTTCTGGAAAACCAGCTTTACTTCCTGTAGCTTTAAGGACTAAAGTAGATTCTTTAATTTTAAGCACTAAATTGTTTTTGGAATGCTGATAGCTTATCTTTGAAAATATGATATATTCTTACATGAACGGATTTTTGTAGATACGAGTTTTGAAACATTTCAGTGTACATGTTATTCCAAAGCAGTCCCACCAACACACAGTTGATACTCACCACCACTTTTCCTTTATGAGCTTTCACTGTTGCTCCAAACCATTGATTCGATTTAAACTCTATAGGTTCCTTGGTTCCATTTACTCTGATCTTTCTGTTGTCTGACAGGGAGAACATGGATTGTTAATAATTTGTAAAGCGTGGGAGCCAGCTAAAATATGTGATAATAAATTTACCCATTAAAAACATTTTTTAAAATGTCATACACATGGGGGGTTCTTTTTTTTTTTTTTTTTTTTTTTTTTTTTT